TTGAGAATGCAAGAAGCCCTTACGAAACACTTCTAAGCGTCAGACCATTAATAAAAATTAATTTTGGAGAATTGATATTTTCACTACCACCGACAGTGAAGAAAAACATAATAAATATTGAAAAAATTCGTATTAGAATTATTAATCTTAGGTCATATTCAACCACATTATATATATATATATATATATATATATATATATATATATATATTATATATATATATTATATATATATATAATATATATATATATATATAGAGTTGTTCAATCAATTAACTCAGTGTTGGTGCATAATTTATATATTAGATCTTTAAGGACTTGCTATTCTATCATTATGTATCGTCCATAGCAGTTAATACCGACTTAAAATGCACTTCATAAGTGAGATAATATGGCAATATATTGCTCTGCTGCGATGTGATATCTATATAGACGTTTACAGCCACCAATAAATGCAATTAGCCAGACACAACAGGTTCCTCACTCACGCCGAAAAAAAACGTTACAATGATATTCTGTAGAATTAAGATAAGCATCGAAACCTAAACCCCATTAAAGTATTCAAAGATAAGATATTACTACAGGTTATCTTTACTAAATGTTAATATTATTATTTATTATATTATTATCTATATTGACAAAATGACGTGTGTGTGTGTGTGTGTGTGTGTGTGTGTGTGTGTGTGTGTGTGTGTGTGTGTGTGTGTGTGTGTGTGTGTGTGTGTGTACTCACCTATTTGTACTCATCTAATTGCACTTGCGGGGGATGAGCTTTGGCCCTTTGGTCCCGCCTCTCAACTGTCAATCAACTGGTGTACAGATTCCTGAGCCTACTGGGCTCTATCATATCTACATTTGAAACTGTGTATGGAGTCAGCCTCCACCACATCGCTGCCTAGTGCATTCCACCTGTTAACTACTCTGACACTGAAAAAGTTCTTTCTTACGTCCCTGTGGCTCATGTGGGTACTCAGTTTCCACCTGTGTCCCCTTGTTCGCGTCCCGCCAGTGTTGATTGTGTGTGTGTGATGAGTAAGTACCTATCAAAACTTACTCATCAGTGAATACCAGAAGTGAGCTGTATTTCTCTGTATCTCCTACTACCCTTGCTGTATCTCTTGTTTATTATGTACCGTCAAGTTTATTATGAGTTCAAATTCCGTGTCGAATCTGGCCTTAAAGTTGTGGATGGAGGTGGCTTCCTCAACTTCTCCTTTCAGTGCATTCCACTTGTTACCCGGCAATTAGATCTTACCTGAGAGTTCCAAGAGATTTAATTATATTTCAATTAAATATACCAAGTAGTCAAGATGGCATATTTGAAATTAATCTTATGATGGGACTAAAGCTTCTGCGTGATAACAAAAACAACATTGTACCAGTTGAACTGTTAGAACACATACGAAATGGGACCAGCGAGTCTAAATGGATTCAAAGAACAGCCACTCATATTAAAATGATGGAACAGCACGATGTATATACAGATGAAAGAGTACAGCACTTCCTTCCACCCTGGCAGATAGTACCTTTTGACATCCTGACCCCTGCATACCCCACCAAGAAACTAATCACAAACAACCCTCATGCTCAGCTTGCTGCTAAGTTAAGCACCATATCTTGAGGTTATCTTGAGATGATTTCGGGGCTTTAGTGTCCCCGCGGCCCGGTCCTCGACCAGGCCTCCACCCCCAGGAAGCAGCCCGTGACAGCTGACTAACACCCAGGTACCTATTTTACTGCTAGGTAACAGGGGCATAGGGTGAAAGAAACTCTGCCCATTGTTTCTCGCCGGCGTCCGGGATCGAACCCGGGACCACAGGATCACAAGTCCAGTGTGCTATCCGCTCGGCCGACCGGCTCCCTATAGAACACATTCACAATATACAAGCTGAAAACAACATTGCACAGACCTTATACACTGACGGATCACTCAATACAGTTACAGGGAGGGCAGGAAGTGCTGTTATTGCTCATCAGCCCGATGGCAGCACAATTGAAAAGAATATAACAGTTACAGGGCATTCACAAAGCAAGCTGAATTGGTAGCAATACTGGTAGCATTCAAAATTATTGACAGTAGACAGCTTAATTATTTCCGACTCCCTTTCCTCATTACTAGCATTAAATAGTTTACAGTCGAGTAATAACGTGCTTGTCTCAGAAGCCAGACATAGATATATAAGAATACTTAGCAAGAGGGTAAATATAAAAATGTGGATTCCTTCTCACATTGGCATGCAGGAACATGACAAAGTTGACGCCCTTGCTAAGGTTGCAGTAAATAAAGACAGTATTGAACGGAATCTTGAGTTATCAAATAGGTCCCTTAAAAGTGTCATTAGACGAGAACTCCTGGATGGATTTGAAGAAAGTAGAACGGTTCAAACTGGAACTAGCAGGTCCATTGTTCATCACAATGAAATGTGTGAAGTAAAACATGTGTATGGGGCAAGTAACAAAGTCAGTAGACTAACAGATGTTGTCACAGCTCGTATAAGACTTGGCTACAAGTATCTCTGGCAGTTCGGCTTGTATAGGGATCTAGATGAAGTAAACATCTTGATCCCTATACAGGAAACAAGAGAGATGATCTGACTATATGTATTCTAGTTATGAAGGTGTGTAAATTTTGAATCTTTGAAAATTTTGAATTTTAAATTTTGAAAATTGTTAAATCTATCGCCCAGTTTGGTGCACACTTGAACAGTAATCTGTGGGTTATCTTGATATCTTGATTAGTTGCAAATATTTTATAACAGGTGGAGATCATTCCTTGATCAATAAACCGCTTTCCACTATTTCATCTACCCCCCTCCCATCCCCCATGGCTCCCCCTCTCTCCTTCACTCTTCCTCTCTCCCTCTCTCCATCGCTCTCCCTCAGCTCCTTCCCCCTCACTCTCCCTCAGCTCTCCACCTTCAGGCTATGGGTGACTGAAGGTGTCTGTCACTTGGGACAAATGTGTATATTAGCTTTTATTCCACTACGAACTCTATGCTCCCTCAAGGGTTCGAACCGGGGCGGTCAGGGAGTCCTCACAGTTGTGTAATGCCTCGGCGCTCTCTCAAGCTTCGCTCTCTCTCAGGAATTCCGATATGCAAATATTGCGAGTTTATTTATGATCATATCCAAAGATGGAGGGTGACCTGGTAACCCAGAGCCTTAAGTTGCTTGCTTGCTTGCGTCAGTCAGGCTTGCGTCTTTGCGTCATACTGCGTCACGCTGTGGCGTCACACATCTGACACAGTCTTGTGAGTTACATATATCTTATGTCTCCTCTGGTTAGGGTTATGTTCAGTGTAGAATGAATATACCAGGTGTGTTCAATCTGTTCATTCAGGTTGTGGTGGATGGAGAACCACACGGCTCTCCATCTGCTCCAGTTATCGCTTGGGAGTCGGTCGGCCGAGCGGACAGCACACTGGACTTGTGATCCTGTGGTCCCGGGTTCGATCCCGGGCGCCGGCGAGAAACAATGGGCAGAGTTTCTTTCACCCTATGCCCCTGTTACCTAGCAATAAAATAGGTACCTGGGTGTTAGTCAGCTGTCACGGGCTGCTTCCTGGGGGTGGAGGCCTGGTCGAGGACCGGGCCGCGGGGACACTAAAAGCCCCGAAATCATCTCAAGATAACCTCAAGATATACGACAGTGTGATCCTCCTGCCATGCTCCACCTTCGTTTTTTGCGGCAGTTCCCTCTTCGTTAGCTTAATGAACTGGTTGGGCTTTTTGGCTGACTTGGGCTTCTCTTAAGGATGTAGAATTTCTGTAAAATACCTGTCAACTATTTTGTTAATAAAATGGTATAATAATGGTCTTGTTAATAAGCTTTCTAATCTATTTATGAATTTGTGTGAATTTGTTCGCTCTGTGAAATTACGTCCTCCTGTGATATCTTAAGGTCCTGCCACGTGTCGACTGTGATATCTTGTCGTACGCAAGCACTTACGAACCTAGGGCCAGATTCACGAAGCAGTTACGCAAGTACTTACGAGCGTGTACATCTTTCCTCAATCATTGACGGCTTTGGTTACATTTATCAAACAGTTTACAAGCATGAAAACTTGCCAATCAACTGTTGTTATTGTTATAAACAGCCTCCTGGTGCTTCGGAGCTCATTAACTGTTTAATAATTGTAAACAAAACCGCCAAAGATTGAGAAAAGATGTACAGGTTCGGTAGTGTTTGCGTAACTGCTTTGTGAATCCGGCCCCTGTACATCTTTTCTCAATCTTTGACGGCTTTGTTTACAATTATTAAACAGTTAATGAGCTCCGAAGCACCAGGAGGCTGTTTATAACAATAACAACAGTTGATTGGCAAGTTTTCATGCTTGTAAACTGTTTAATAAATGTAACCAAAGCCGTCGAAGATTGAGGAAAGATGTACACGTTTGTAAGTGCTTGCGTAACTGCTTCGTGAATCTGGCCCCAGGTTCGCAAGTGCTTGCGTAATTGCTTCGTGAATCTGGCCCCAGGTCCCTGACAGCTCTTGGGCCCCATACACTATGATCAGCTGCGCGCAAGCCTCCACCCTGCGCGCCCGTACACGGGCCTCGCGGCTGAATGGACAGCGCTAGGGGATCATAGTCCTAATGGCCCGGGTTCGATTCCCGGGGGAGGAGGAAACAAATGGACAGAGTTTCATTCATCCTGATGTGTCTGTTCACTAGCAATAAATAGGTACCTGGGAGTTAGACGGCTGCTAGGGGCTGCTTCCTGGGGATATGTGGGTGTATGTGTGTTAGAGATATACATGTAGTAGACGGGAGAGTTGTGTAAAAACCCTGGTTTATGTCTCGGAGAGGCTGCAGGATCCAAGCAAGGTAGGTACAACTTCTGGTTACAACTCTTTTGACCATGTCGTAGCTCAGTCGATTAAGGCAGCGTCTGGGATGCTCTCGGACGTAGGTTCGAATCCTCCTAGTGGATTTGTTTATATAGTAGACATAATTCAGAAAAAGCAGATCATTATTACCTAACAATAGACGTAATTTTAGCAAGAGAACTTTGTCATCTGGTCTGGTGTACGAATTGACCGAACTACAGGAAGGAGGTATATTAACCACTCTCTCTCTCTCTCTCCCCCACCACCAGGGCTGAGCCATGACCGAGGCTTCGTACTCTTCCGGGCTGGGGAGATCGCGGATGAAGGGATCAAGTCCTTCGCAGAGACGGGCCGCAGCGATCTCATCGACCAGCGAGCGCAGGTACGCCAGACGCACTTTCTTTCACTCATTCACTAACCCACATCATTCGTTCACTAAATGCAGGTCGGTGTTCAATCCCCCCGACCGTCCACAAGTGGTTGGGCACCATTCCTTCCCTCCACCTTTCATCCCAAATCCTTATCCTGGCCCCTTTCTCTGCGCTATATAGTCGTAATGGCTTTGCGCTTTTACATGATTAATTCCCTCCCTCCCCCCTCGACTCATCCACTCACATGTGTACTCCATACACTCCCCATTCATCCACTCACTCATCCACAAGACGCATTCATCAATTTTAACATGTTGAGTATTCAAAAAAAATCTTCTATATATAAGTTTATATTATTATATATTAAATTTCAATGTATATATAGGCGTAGGTTAGGTTAGGTTAGGTGTTTAGGTTCTGTTGGCGATTATTTGCATTTGTAGTACGTGGGTGAAACATTTATAGCGTTGTGGTTCGAACAAAAGTCGTCAGTGAAGCACTTGTTCTGGAAGTGTTCGAAAATAATCAGTTGAGAGTCGTATGTAAACTGTTTTTCATTCATAAACAGGGGGTTTGGCGGGTGCATGGAATGGACTTTGGGTCTTTGTTTAGAGGAAGGGATGTTGTATATTAAGTACGTTAGTGAAGCATTTGCAAAAGTCCGATTCGATCGAAGGTCGACAGAGAAGCCCTTTTCGAGAAATGTTCGAACGTCATCAGTTGCGATCGAGTCGTGTGCAGCCCGTCCTCAGAACAGACACAAAATCCATTCCATGCACCCACCAAACCCCCTGTTTATGAATGAAAAACGGTTTACACACGACTCACAACTGATGACGTTCGAACACTTCCGGAACAAGTGCTTCACTGACGACTTTTGTTCGAGCCACAACGCTGTAAATGCTTCACCCACGTATTATAAACACAAATAATCGCCAACAGAACCTAAACACCTAACCTAACCTAACCTATATATGCACAATATACTAATATATTATAATATTAATTTATATTTAAAATAATTCGCGTTTTGAATGAACAGCATGTAAAAAATTAATGAATGCGTCTGTGGGGCCACCAGAAAAAGGTATCTCAGTTTTCAAAACATAATTTCCTGGTCTGCAATTTGAGTTTATTCTGCGAGCGAGAGTTGTTTTTGGTAAATGTGTAGCAAGATATGTAGCGCTGTGGCGCTCTGTTGTTTGGCAGGAGTCTCTTGTGTACTGGATAGATAAAAAGAGGTAAATGTGTGTGTGTATGTGTACATTCAGCCCCGCTCCTGTGCCAGGTAAGTCCACTACGGGCTCACCATAGCCCGTGCTACTTGCAACTTGTTCCCAGTAGCTGAATCTATAACAACAAGAACAACGTGTGTGTGTACTTCCCTAGTTATGCTTTGCTGGGGTTGAGCTTCGGCCCTTTGGTCCCGCCTCTGAATCGTCAATCAACCGGTGTACAGGTTCCTGAGCCTACTGGGCTCTGTCATATCTACACTTGAACCTGTGTATGGAGTCTGCCTCCACCACATCAGTGTGTGTGTGTGTGTGTGTGTGTGTGTGTGTGTGTGTGTGTGTGTGTGTGTGTGTGTGTGTGTGCGTGTGTGTGTGTGTGTGCGTGTGTGTGCGTGTGTGTGTGTGTGTGTGTGTGTGTGTGTGTGTGTGTGTGTGTGTGTGTGTGTGTGTGTGTGTGTGTGTGTGTGTGTGTGTGTGCGTGTGTGTGTGTGTGTGCGCGCGATCAGAATCGCAGTGAAAGTACCAAAGATAAATTCACTCACCATCAAGAGACCTCAAGGAATACCACACACACATCTTTACCTGAAGCCTCTTCCAGTGTGCATGAAGCCTCTTCCAGTGTGTATGGATCTTGTGCTGGAGCTGCCCCACGCGCTTCTCAAACCACTATTCCTTCATATTTTTCTTCCACCGTATTTGAGCCTCAGACGGGGGGGGGGGGAGGGAGGGAGAGAGCGGTGTTACGAACCTCCCTCCACAGCCTCGCTAATGTTTCCTCGACAACGCATTTTTTTTGCAACAACTTGCAGCGAAGTATTTCGCTCGAGCCTTGCAACCCACCACAACACAAGTTGCCGGTTGATGGGTCTTCCTCTTTGGGACTTTGTTGGCTCCTAGTTTCAGACTCTACTCGAAAACTCCATTATTTTTTCTCCAGAAGATTTAACTAACCGAACTTTGGGCGAGAAGTCCTGGCAAGTAATTCCCCCACACGCCCAGGCGGAGAGGCGCGCTTGCCTGTAAATCCAGTTTTTCCCGCCAAGAACAGGGCGTCCTCGGAGCTGACATCGAAGTGGTGGACTGAGGCGGCGCTCCGTCCCGCCAGTCTTTCAAAGACGGGGACTTCGATATCCTAGTTGGTTGCTTATGGGCGCTCTAGTTAGCGGTAGTTAGTTGCTTACGGGCGCTGTAATTAGCGGTAGTTGGCCGCTTAAGTGTGTGTTGATTGCGATTTGCTGGTCAAGGGAGGAAGGTAGTTAGCTGCTGATGCTGACTATTTATCAGTCGTTGACTGCTCAAATAAGCTGCTTAGCAATTTTAGATTGCTCAAGGAGGTAGTTGGCTGCCCCAGGTGGGTTGTTAACAGTAGTTAGCTGCTGATGGAGGCTAGTTGATCAACTAGCCAACTTGGGAGAGAGACTCCCGCCAGCAGAAGCCATCTTACAAGTACCAACATTTACGTTGGGGAAACAAGAGAGTAACTAGAACGTAGTTAAAACCTTCACGTAATGAAGCCATGACACTCGCCTGGCGTTCCGCGAGCGCTTTGTCATGGGTTCATATCCTGGCCGGGGAGGATTTACTGGGCGCAAATCCTTAACTGTAGCCTCTGTTTAACGCAACAGTCAAATGTGAACTTGGTTGTAACAACGATTCTTCGCGGCAGGGGATCGTATTCCAGGGAACATAGGATTAAGGACTTGCCCGAAACGCTACGCGTACTAGTGGCTGTACAAGAATGTAACAACTCTTGTATATATCTCGAAAAAAAATGAAGACTCCCACTAGCAGATAGTGCTGGTCCGGGTTCGTTTGACTTCTCTTATCTCCAACTGACGAAGCCAATAAGATATCCGATGTCTTGAGAGAATTGATCAACATTCATTAACATGTTTTGAAAACAAACAATAGCTTCTAGCGCACAGTATCCACTATCGTGCCAGCCTTGACGTGCCACAAGGTACAGAATACAAAGTGCTAACTTAAGCATAAACGCACAACCTGAGCCACCCTCCTAACCCAACTTTCCGCTACATAGAAAACGTGGATATTTGTGAATTGCATTTATTTCATTTAGTTGTGTATATTTTGTTCCCAGCAGCTGAATCTAAAACAATAACAGAGAGAGAGAGAGAGAGAGAGAGAGAGAGAGAGAGAGAGAGAGAGAGAGAGTCCTGAAGGACTCTGAAATACTTCAAGATGATACACGACCAAAGAACACATTCACTCCAAACATCTATACCACCTACGGGCTATTCATGCCCATGCACCACTTCTGCCATCTTAATCTCCATCAATCAATCCGAGAGAGACCTGACAAAAGTTGAATCTTCCCAGACTCATAATTCCTTTGCCACCGTCCATAAAATAGGTATAAAAAGAATCAGATGGCTATTATACTTGAGAATGTGCATTTGTTTGCCAGTACTTGAGAGAGAAAATATCACAGGAGGTATTGGTGAAGAGAGGTCCAGCGGGGCTTAGTTCATCAGCGCCCTGGTGAGTAGCCAGGATTTCAGAAGGCTTTACTAAATGGTACACAGAGAAATCACATTAACGTGATATATCTTCTGACCATGTTGTGGCGTAGTCGACTGGAGTGTGCGTCTGGGAATAGTCAGCGCGTAGGTTCGAATCCTCATCACGGTTTCGGTAGATTTTCCCTTCTAAAGGGTACTGTCCCGGCAGATGGTGTGAGAATGGGGCAGGTGCTGAAACTCGGAGGTCTGAACATAGCAGCATGCCCAACGGCTGGGGCCAGCATGCCCACCCAGCATGCCCAACGGCTGGGGCCAGCATGCCCACCCAGCATGCCCAACGGCTGGGGCCAGCATGCCCACCCAGCATGCCCAACGGCTGGGGCCAGCATGCCCACCCAGCATGCCCAACGGCTGGGCCCAGCATGCCCACCCAGCATGCCCAACGGCTGGGGCGGACACACACAGTAACGTAGATAGCATTATCGAGACGTTAAACTAATCAAATAATCCCATACCTCAGCCGGGTTCGTTGTCAACTCAGTCGCGAATCCCAGGTTCGATTCCCTGGCAGAACAGGAATGGTTTGACACGTTTCCTTTCACCTAATGATCCCTGTTCACCTACCAGTAAATAGGTACCATAGAGCTAGGCAGTTATGGGGAGGATCTCGACTTTGGGGGAGGGATCTGAAGTATATGTATACATACAGGCTTCCTGTCCCCTGTTAACAGTCGAGTCTATGTGCTTTAAAGGACGCAGTGACCGCGGGGGACATGTTCACTGCCTAGATGCTGAGCAAAACAGAAAGAGCGACTCAGGTGAGTTCCTGAAACGCAAAATGAGTTCGATATTAAAAATATACCCACACGCCGTAGAAGAAACTAGGTGAGCACGTGGTGAAAGCCAGTTGGAGGCAGAGCCCAAGAGCTCAGCCTTCGAGAGCATAGGCCGATATACTTCACCTGTATAACACACCCATCACCTACTTCACTCTCTCGCATCATCTTTCACAAACATAAAAACGCATTAAAGACAATTTGTAGATGCTCTCTCCTCGCCAGACCAGCTTCACAAGCAGAAATATTAATGGCTCTTCCGCGAAGTGTGTGTGTGTGTGTGTGTGTGTGTGTGTGTGTGTGTGTGTGTGTGTGTGTGTGTGTGTGTGTGTGTGTGTGTGTGTGTGTGTGAGCTCTTGTTTACTTTTACGAACGGTTGAATTGCGTGATTTGTGTGGTAACGAACGGGGTCGGTGGTGTCTTGACTTGGGCAATGATAGCGTCTTGTTGTTGATCCTTGAGAAATGTTGCGTTCACTGCTTAGTTATCGTTCAATTGTTTTTCTTTATATATATATATATGTATGCTGTTATCCTACCTCGGCTCATCTGAAGCCTCATTAATTTGATGTATTTTGAACGCCGACCCTGCGTGAAGCAAGACCGTCGCTCTACCGTCCAGCCCAAGTGGTTGGCGGGTGTTTTTAATATGAAGGTAAAATATAATCATTGTTTACTTATCTCCGTTTTCCCTTTCAGGGAGAAAACGGGGTGCTGGATGCCTTCAACACTCCACCAATCACAGAGGGCGTTGGTATGGCCGAATCCCACTTCTTCGTGGACGGTAACCACTCTAGGGTGAGTAGTGTGTGCTGTTAGTGTGTTCACAGGCCCCTCTGAACACCCGTTCAGAGCTCCGTGGCGGTATATGTTGCCTCGCAGGCTCGTTAAAGCAGCGGCCTTTCTCCGAGACGTATTCATCAGTTTTAACTTTCTGTGTAATACAAATAGGTTGGTTCTCGTATATAAAATTCATATTATCAAAATAAATTCCATGTATAGTTAAGTGTAGGTTAGTTTAGGTGTTTAGGTTCTGTTGGCGATGATTTGAAGCATTTACAGTCTTAGTATATATATATATATATATATATATATATATATATATATATATATATATATATATATATATATATATATATATATATATATATATGTAGTGGGATTATGTCAGCGTTATAAGACACGCATTGTTGAGCTCGCCAGAAATATCACTGATCGACTTAACTGTTGTTTCTCTCTGGGCATGTTCCGTCACACACGTTCCTTTGATAAATACCTGTGGCAGGGGTGTGTGTGTAGGGAGGAGCCGGTCGGCCGAGCGAACAGCACGCTGGACTTGTGATCCTGTGGTCCTGGGTTCGATCCCAGGCGCCGGCGAGAAACAATGGGGAGAGTTTCTTTCACCCTATGAAAGCAGTACAGAAAGCACCCTGTTACCGAGCAGTAAAATAGGTACCTGGGTGTTAGTCAGCTGTCACGGGCTGCCTCCTGGGGGTGGAGGCCTGGTCGAGGACCGGGCCCCGGGGACACTAAAGCCCCGAAATCATCTCAAGATAACCTCAAGAAGGGAGCAGTATCAATTATTAATCGGTTTAAATGATTATAAATTATTACAGTATGACACATTAGAGATTAACGTGTTCTCACTGTTTTCCTTGGAAATGTTCAGTAGAGGAGAGCTAGGTGGTGAGGGGAAGCTGTTTGGCTTTAAGTGGCCTTGTCGTTGACCTTCGAAAGGCTCGTTAAACACGACTGTCACTTTACACAGGTATAACGACGCATGTATATTAAGATGTAGTAAATATGTAAACAATGGATATAAATTGAATAAGTTTAAATCCGGGAAAGACCTGGGTAAATACTGGTTTGGAAGCTAGTGTTGATTTGTGGAAGAGATTACCTGATTGGTTCTAACTATTAGACATAAGTTTGGGTTGATATAAATAGCAGTTCATCACGAGCCAATAGGCCTACTGAAGCGGCCTTTGTTCTTGTTTTTGTTATCTATTTTGGCTTATGAAAATGGAGACAGTACTTCATAGCAGCTTAATACAGGAGGGTGCTATAGCTACGCAGCCTACTACGCTACTATAGGCCTAGACAAGTGACTCCTACCTGTCCACATTTTGGGTCAGTAAACATTAGATAAAGTCATACCTTAAATAAAGCCATATGGCTTAAATAAAGCCATATGGCTTAAATAAAGCCATATGGCTTTATTGGTATTCCCATGCACAATAAAAGACGCTGAATAATTAAACTCCAGGCAATGAAAATAAGTCATATATTTTCAAAGTTCCTTAATGCAAATATCTGTTAATATTTTTACCAATACTGACAGCCAGTTATGTTCCTTTTTTTTAATGTATTTTTATGCATGGTTTACTAAATATTTTAACTTTTATAACCATTGTGTTATTACATTTAATCTGGGGTTTTATGTTGTTCTTGTTGCATAGATAAAGCTGGCATAGCTGGCGGTTTGTTGTTGTTAAAGATTTGCTACCTGGAATAAAAAGTTCCAAGTAGCACGGGCTATGGCGAGCCCGTAGTGCCTTTAGCTGGCGGTGATTGCAATGTTATGCAACATGAGAATCTTGTTAGAACAGCAGGAGGAGTCCTGTATTTTGCATTTGTAATCATCATTATCTGACATATTGCCCTTGGTACATATTTTGATATATGACCTCTATGAAGTTTGTTGATATAATATATATGATTGTATCTGTGTGTACTCACGTATTTGTGCTTGCAGGATCGAGCATTGGCTCTTGGATGTGTGTGTGTGTACCTACCTAATTGTGTTTGCGGGGGTTGAGCTTTGGCTCTTTGGCCCCGCCTCTCAACTGTCAATCAATGTGGCAATGTGTGTGTGTGTGTGTACTCACCTATTTGTGCTTGCGGGGGTTGAGCTCTGGCTCTTTGGTCCCGCCTCTCAACTGTCAATCAAATGGTGTACAGATTCCTGAGCCTTCTGGGCTCTATCATATCTACATTTAAAACTGTGTATGGAGTCAGCCTCCACCACATCACTGCCTAATGCATTCCATCCGTTAACTACTCTGACACTGAAAAAGTTCCTTCTAACTTCTCTGTGGCTCATGTGGGTACTCAGTTTCCACCTGTGTCCCCTTGTTCGCGTCCCACCAGTGTTGAATAGTTCATCCTTGTTTACCCGGTCGATTCCTCTGAGGATTTTGTAGGTTGTGATCATGTCTCCCCTTACTCTTTTGTCTTCCAGTGTCGTAAGGTGCATTTCCCGCAGCCTTTCCTCGTAACTCATGCCTCTTAGTTCTGGGACTAGTCTAGTGGCATACCTTTGGACTTTTTCCAGCTTCGTCTTGTGCTTGACAAGGTACGGGCTCCATGCTGGGGCCGCATACTCCAGGATTGGTCTTACATATGTGGTGTACAAGATTCTGAATGATTCCTTACACAGGTTCCTGAACGCTGTTCTGATGTTAGCCAGCCTCGCATATGCCGCAGACGTTATTCTTTTTCTGTGGGCTTCAGGAGACAGGTTTGGTGTGATATCAACTCCTAGATCTTTCTCTCTGTTCGTTTCATTAAGTACTTCATCTCCTATTCTGTATCCTGTGTCTGGCCTCCTATTTTCACTGCCTAGTTTCATTACCTTGCATTTACTCGGGTTGAACTTCAACAGCCATTTGTTGGACCATTCACTCAGTCTGTCTAGGTCATCTTGTAGCCTCCTACTATCGTCCTCAGTTTCAATCCTCCTCATAATTTTTGCATCATCGGCAAACATTGAGAGAAACGATTCTATACCCTCTGGGAGATCATTTACATATATCAGAAACAGTATAGGTCCAAGGACTGACCCCTGCGGGACTCCACTCGTAACGTCTCTCCAATCTGAGACCTCACCCCTCACACTGACTCGTTGTCTCCTGTTGCTTAGGTACTCCTGTATCCAACGGAGTACCTTCCCTTTCACTCCAGCCTGCATCTCCAGCTTTTTCACTAGCCTCTTGTGTGGCACTGTATCAAAGGCTTTCTGACAATCCAAAAATATGCAGTCTGTGTGTGTGTGTGTGTGTGTGTGTGTGTGTGTGTGTGTGTGTGTGTGTGTGTGTGTGTGTGTGTGTGTGTGTGTGTGTCTGCCAGCTGGTGCAACAGGTGGTGGTCTGCACTATATACACTACCCAGCTGGCTACAGAGAAGGGGGGGGGAGGGTGGGGGGGGGAGGAGCATATGACTAGATATAGGTGTGACTCAATGCTAATCTCATCCAGTCTATTCTCTCTCTCTCTCTCTCTCTCTCTCTCTCTCTCTCTCTCTCTCTCTCTCTCTCTCTCTCTCTCTCTCTCTCTCTCTCTCTCTCTCTCTCTCTCTCTCTCTCTCTCTCTCTCTCTCTCTCTCTCTCTCTCTCTCTCTCTTTCTTTCTTGCCTCTCTTCATCTCCACTATTTGTATTTTACGTAAAGAAGAGGGAGGTACAGGTGAAGCATTACGTTTATTAATGGGAAATACAGTGAGAGATATGATAGCAGGCGGGCTGTCCGCCTTGCTGACACCATGTTATGATAGCAGGCGGGCTGCCCGTCTTGCTGACACGATGTTATGATAGCAGGCGGGCTGCCAGCCTTGCTGACACGATGTTATGATAGCAGGCGGGCTGCCCGTCTTACTGACACGATGTTATGATAGCAGGCGGGCTGCCAGCCTTGCTGACACGATGTTATGATAGCAGGCGGGCTGTCCGCCTTGCTGACACGATGTTATGATAGCAGGCGGGCTGCCCGCCTTGCTGACACGATATTATGATAGCAGGCGGGCTGTCCGCCTTGCTGACACGATGTTATGATAGCAGGCGGGCTGTCCGCCTTGCTGACACGATATTATGATAGCAGGCGGGCTGTCCGCCTTGCTGACACGATATTATGATAGCAGGCGGGCTGTCCGCCTTGCTGACACGATGTTATGATAGCAGGCGGGCTGTCCGCCTTGCTGACACGATATTATGATAGCAGGCGGGCTGCCCGCCTTGCTGACACGATATTATGATAGCAGGCGGGCTGTCCGCCTTGCTGACACCACGTTATGATAGCAGGCGGACTGTCCGTACTAGTTCTCTTTATGATGTATAGTGATACTAGAGGATATTTAAGATATGGCAGGATTAGAGCCTTGTATTAATGCAGCTGTATGATTGTATTAAGTGTATGGAATCTTTTCAATCTGCCTAAGGCTGTTTTTGCTTTGTTTTTTTGAGTGAATTTGTATTTCTTAGTCTCAGTATTCTGCCTACAGTCGTGTGTTGAGGTGGATAGAGAGGTGTGTGGGTAGTGAGGGAGAGGCAGGTGTGTAGTGAGGGAGAGGCAGGTGTAGGAGGGAGAGGAAGGTGTGTGGGTAGTGAGGGAGAGGCAGGTGTAGTGAGGGAGAAGCAGGTGTGTAGTGAGGGAGAGGCAGGTGTAGTTAGGGAGAAGCAGGTGTGTAGTGAGGGAGAGGCAGGTGTAGGAGGGAGAGGCAGGTGTAAGAGTGAGAGGCAGATGTAGGAGGGAGAGGCAGGTGTGTAGTGAGGGAGAATCAGGTGTAGGAGGGAGAGGCAGGTGTAGAAGGAGAGGCAGGTATGTAGGAGGGAGAGGCAGGTGTAGTGAGAGAGAGGCAGGTGTAGGAGGGAGAGGCAGGTGTAGTGAGGGAGAGGCAGGTGTAGGAATGAGAGACAGGTGTAGGAGGGAGAGGCAGGTGTGTAGTGAGGGAGAGGCAGGTGTAGCGAGTGAGAGGCAGGTGTAGGAGGGAGAGGCAGGTGTAGGAGGGAGAGGCAGGTGTGTAGCG